TCAAGGCAAAGGCTTCTCTGGCGGCCTCCAGCAGATCAAAGTGGCCCAGGTGGCACAGGATGGTACCTCCCATTGGGTAACATGCCAGTCTCAACGTCTTGTGGAAGAAGGCTGCATGCAAGAGAACCGGCTCCGGTATGACCAGACCCGCTACCCCTACTCCACTCCCCCCATGACTGAACCTTTGTACTCCAACTTCAATGGCCCCAATGCCAAAAGTAACAGCCAAGCACTGCTTCGTGGTCTCTATGAAGGCGAGACAGCGGATCCTTACCTGGTGTCATTCCTGGACCATTGCCGACGGCCGGAGGGCTTGGAAGACCAAACCCTGGAAGTGGATCTGGAGGACCATGTTAGCTTCTGGTGTAAGATGGGGAACACAAAGGTTCGGAGCCACACAGCTTACAAAATGGCCATTTCAAAGCGGGAGTAGCATCCAACTTGCTGCGCCATCTGACCAGATAAATCCTTTTGGTATCTGATTGACTTCAAGTGGAATGCCCAACAAGGTGTATGGAAATTCCGGCGGAAGGGGGATTTCAAACCATCTCTTCTTCCCACAGGAATGTCGGAAACTGCGGTTGAACTGGATGCTCTGGATGGCACCCCAGTGCATCTACAGTGGTTGGAACCGGATGAATTGGCAAAGACTTTGGGTATCCTGATGTCCCCCTGCTCAAACAGGAAAGCACAACTGGCGGTGATGCAGGGGAAAGCAAAAGCATGGGCAGATCAGATCCAACCTAGCTTCCTCCACCGCTATGTTGTCCTCCCTCTCCTTTGCACCACAATCCAGAAGACTTTGGAGTACCCCATGGCGCTCACCTTCTTCTCTCAACAGGAGTGGGACCAGCTCCTATCCCCAGTGCTCAGGGCGGCACTTCCAAAGGCTGGTATCTGCCGCAACTTTCCTTGTGCTATGGTCTATGCCCCTATTGCACTCCAAGGAGTGGGTGTCCCTCATCCCTACGGTCTCCAAGTCATCAAGCACTTGGATATGCTACTTTGCCATCCTGCCAATAAGACCAAGACAGGCGCCTTCTTGGAGGCTATCCTTCAGGCACATCAGCTTGAAACCGGTACCTCATACGGCATCTTCCAACAAGTCTATGCCAACACCTCCATCCTGGCGTCTGACACATGGGCAAAGCGGACCTGGAGTGAACTCGACTCTCTCTTCATCCACCTGGAGTTTGATTCCCCCTCTCTTCTGCCACTACGCCAAGGAGACCAACTGTTAGTTGACTTGTTCATCAATTCTTTGGTGGACCAACTTACTTTGAAATGGCTCAACTGGTGTCGGATCTTCCTGCACGCAGTGACTCTTTCTGATATTGTGAATGCTGAAGGGATGGCAATTACTCTGAAAGCATGGAAAGGGCTAAGAGCGGACAGCTGTTCTGATCGGTACCAATGGCCCTGCACTGCTCGTCCGTCTAACCAATGGTGGACTGCATGGCAATAATGGATCTCTACTCACCTGACCGGCCACTCCAACCGACGCCATCTCAGTTCTCCGTTAGGCCTGTGGCGTTCTGTTGACTTATCCTGGAAGTGGCAATACTCCCCCTCTACCAATACCCTGTTCCACCGTGAGGGTCAACTATGGATCCCTTCCGTTCCTCTTGCCTCCACCAGCCGTCAGCGCACCTTCCACTTGCCTCGTCGCTTCAACCCTGATCTCCCACCTCTACCAGTGGACGCTGTCCGCGCCTCGGTCTCTGTCTTCCCTAGCCGTTCTCCAATCCACAAGAGCCGGGTCCTCCTCCACTCTACGGGCCCTCACCAACCAGCCGAACCACCTGCCCCCCCATCTTCCATCCTTGACCTCTGGCATCACTTTGGCAGTCTGGCTGAATCAGGTTCTCACGGCTGGGTTCCAGAGGTCATTACCATTGAAGGTAGTGAGGACCGCCTGGTTCAGGCCCTTCGCGCCGGTACCCTTTGTGCTGTGAGCGACGGCTCTTACAAAGCTAAAGTGGGCACAGCATGCGCTCAAATTCTCACTGAGGACCGCAGGGATATCATCTGGATCACCTGCCAAACCCCTGGGAAATTTGACGACCAGAGTTCCACGCGCAGCGAATTGATTGGCCTTATGGCCTCTCTCCTGGTGTTGGACTGGATATCTCAGGTCGCCCACCTGAAACTCTTTGCCAGCCAACCGTCGGTTGAGATGGCCTGCGACGGGCTCATAGCTCTTGATAAGTCCTTCTCCGAATTCCACCTGTCATCGTCTGGTGCCCAATTTGATCTGGCCTCAACCATCCGGGCCTTACTTTGCCACCTTCCCCTCCAAGTTTATCGGCGCCATGTTAAAGGCCACCTGGACAAGCACCGGCCTTTCTCCCAACTGGACTGGTGGGAGCAGCGCAATGTGGAAGTAGACTCCAAAGCACAATCCTACCGCCGCCTGCTGGAGTCTACGGGCCGCTTGGCTGCCTCCAACCCCCGCTTCTTCCACGAACCTGTGTCTTTATTCATTGACGGTGTTAAGTCTTCCAAACTGGATCAGGCTCACATCATGGAGCTAGTCTCTCTTCCTGCCCTTTGAGCATATTGGTCCTCCAAGGACCGCCTCTCCGAGCAGTCCATCCGTGAGGTCAATTGGTTATCTCTTGCACGCGCCATGAAGGCCCTCCCTGCAAATCTCCAACGCTGGACACCCAAACATATCTCCGGTATGACAGGTGCGGGAAAATTCTTAGCCATTTGGAACCGTTTGGCGAAGAGCTCCTGCCCCAGATGCTCCTCCTGCCCTGTGGAAGATTGGCGAAGAGCTCCTGCCCCAGATGCTCCTCCTGCCCTGTGGAAGATCATCTCCATGTCCCACGCTGTCCTGCTCCTACTGCAGCGGCAGAATGGTCAAAACGCCATTTGGCCCTCCGGACCTGGATGCAGACCCAGCAGACTGCCCCAGAGATCGAAGCCTTCCTCTTCGAATACCTGAAGACAGTCCGTCAGCCTTCCTTGGGCGTTCCCACCGTCCGAGCCTGGTCCCGCCATCCCCACCTCTTCCAAAGGGCCATCTCTTCCCAAGCCATGCTTGGGGCTCAGGGCCTCCTTGAAGGCCTAGTGTCCCCCAACTGGAGACACCTGCAGGCCCTTCACTTTTCCTACATTGGCTCCAAGAAGTCCGTCAACCTTTGGGCCTCCCGTCTGATCCAACAACTGATCCGGATTGGGCACTACATGTGGAAAGACCGCAACCGGCTTGCCCACTCTGAAGACAGCTCCTGGTACAAAGCTTGCAAGCGGGAGATTGACATCGGCATCCGCGAACAGTTCACCATGGGCCTGATGGATATCCCCCCACACTCGCAGTACCTCTTTCGGGACTCCCACAAAACTGTCCTCAACAAATCACTCGAAGATCGTCAACATTGACTGCGCCTTGTCTCCAGTGAGAGAGCGATCAACCGTCGCTCTCTAGCCAGGCAACGCCAGATGATCTTTGACTTGGCGCAACCCGCCAACCCAACATTGACTCGGCCACCCGGCGCTAGTCCATAAACAGTCAGATGTCTTGGCCATCTCTCTGTCCCTCTATGTTTCACTCTCCCTCTGTCGACCACAGGACTAGGGAACTGCAGTCTGTCACATAGATGGTCGCCACCTTGTTCTGGAACACTGTGCCATTGGGACGCTCTCCATTCACTTGGATCGATACGCCCAGGGCATTAGGGCGCAAGAACAATTGGCTTCTTACCTGCTACACAATCATGCCCA